ATTGATTATGTGTTTTTGTAATATTTTGTTTTTGTTTATTCTTGAGTTGAGTAAGCTGAGTTTATTGGTTCACATTTTACTTGTAGATACAATACATATAACAAAATATACATAAAAGACATTGTTTAACAATGAAAAAATCTTATTATAGTAATTAAAAAAATAATCAAACTACACAGTTACATGTCATCAAATTTGTTTAATACCTATTATCATTTAAAGGGAAACCAGACAAGAAAAGCACACAACTCTGGAATTTTCAGGAACTTATAGAAAAGCATAGCTTGTAAAGAATAGCTTCCTGGGAGACTTGAACAAAATGACAGGGACAGAAATGTTTACTATAGAGAGACGTACATAATTAAATGTAAGAGGGCCGTAATTTGACAAATATTGTTATATTTTTTTTACGAGTTCCAAAAAATTAAATACAGAAAAAAGAAACAAAACAAAATACATTAAAATGAAGAGGAGTAACGAGCCCATAAATAACAAAATATTTACCTATTTTTACCACATGTTTGCACCCCCTGAACGTTTAAAAAACCGAACAATAGAAGTCATGATTTATTCATTCCTTCCCTGATTATGTAAGCAACTAGGATCTAAATAGTAAGCCCCTCCCTCTCCCCCTCCTTGACCAACCTAAGTTGATCCTTTACATTTGATTGGAGGATTCTTGGTCACATGGTATTCAATAAATAATCTAATTGCACGTACGTGCAATTTGGGTTATATTCGCCATCCATTTTGGTGCCCTTCTGTATTCAGCGTTCATTTTTGGTTATAGTTAGACTGCGATAACGGAAGCATATTGAACTTAGGATTTATTTGTCAGATATCTCTCAGAAACGGATAAATCTTGAAATTAATTACATTCATATCAAATAACAATGGCCTGGGTGTTTAGTTGTATTATTTCATAAATCTTTTGTGTAGTGTTTGCTGTAGCTATAATTTGTTTTGTGTGTTGTAACACAGGCACTCGTGGTCTTGAGATATGCGATGAAATACCACTGGACATATGCCCCAATACAGTGTCTGAATATACAGGCGAATGGGTCAAGCAACTAATCAAGTATCTGCCTCGTGAGCACCCTGCGTATGACGTCAGGACGCCAGCCGAAGGGAGGGACGTTATCAAGTTATACTGCGCACCTCCAGGTGTGTGTTGTTTTTTTTGGATTTCGTTTTTTACGTTTACTTATTAAAGTGTAATGCGCTTCACATTTATATCGTATATTACCAAGAGCAGTGAATTCGTTTGTTGCGCGCAGTTGCCATTCAAAAAAATGAAACATTAATGGAGCTCTAAATAGTTCCCTCAATAGCTCCACGAACTGACCTGTTATCATTTTGTTAGTTCTAGTAGTATTAGTAGTATACCAACGAGATTTGCGTGGACTGATACGTGTGACGTCCATTCAAGGCATTGCATTAAAATGACGTCAATCGTAGCAATCCACGTTGTCGTTGTGCAAATCTAAAAGTCCCTAATGACACCAGACTGATACCAGTCCATACTGTGCTCTTGACTAAAATTTAAAATGAATGTTAAGTTTGAACACCCGATCGTATTGTGTATGTTCTATACTGCACAGCATGTGACTCGCAGCCGTGCCTTAATGGAGGAACCTGCTCGGAGGAACTTGAAGGGTTCAGCTGCACGTGCCCAGAGGGATACAATGGAACACGTTGCGAAATTGGTATGATGCAGATACAATTGAATGTTATATACCTTTCTTTAGAAATCTTAAGAAATCTAGCCATCTGATTGATCGAAATTGGAATCGTCATTCTAGCCATTCCCGTAAAGAAACGAACAATGTCAGTAACAGTCAATAGTTCATGAGTGAGATTCCCAAAATATTCTGGGTACCGGGAAAATAGCAAAATTTTGTTGAGATCCCCATTGGTTTACGTGTTAATATTGTCTTTAAGCGAGCTCGGGCACATAACAGTGCTTTTGTGTCTGCGATTCCAAATGATTGAAACTTTCAGACATGTTTCCAGCGAAGATTTACAGACAGGTTTTAGTGATGTTATAACCAATCTTAACTCAATAAAAGGATAAGATAAGACTTCTTGGTAGATTTTTGTTTTAATTCGGCATTTAAAATACATATCGACTGCTTTAATATTCGGGGCCTGGCTGTTGGCTCTCGGGGACGTGAACATCCTGCCATGACCCCTGGCGCCGCCGCCTCATGTACAATGTACAATAGATGTACAATTAAAGATATTCTGAAAGTTTGATTGAAAACGGACCATTATTAATGATACAAATTGGGAAAAGCCAATCTGATTGATTCCTTAATTCTCCCAACTATATTATTACAACTTAATTAAAATTCAGTTGAATGTAAATCAAAACAAAAGCTATGAATTGCCTCTATAATGCATTCAAGACATTTCAAGTTGAATAATTTTAACAGTCCTGTCTTATGTCTTATTTTCATGGAAAAACGGTTGGGAAAATTCAAAAATTGTTGGGAGAATTTACTGTTAGAGGGTGTTGACTGGTGACGCCTTAAAAGAAAACCATAAATATCTTTGTGATTTGAGAATTTGTTCAGGATGTTTTGCATGCTCGAGGATTAGTACAGTAGAAGCCTTTTACTGTTTTAACCCTCTAGCATGCTAGAAGGAATTTAATAAGTAACATTCATACAAAAATTAAGTAGTTTTTCATCAAATTTCAACAATGATACAGAATCACTTTAATAGAATAACTCGTCACTACTGCGTGAGTAAAAACAAAAATTTACACCTAGGAAATTGCTAATTTTTTTAAGAACCATCTATGAACAGTAATTTAGTGTTCATCTTATGAAAGAGTGTTTTATCCCAAATCAATTGGTATCATTTCTGTGAGGCATGTGTTAACGCTAGGATAAACAGAAGGCATTGTTTGCGAGAGTGCAATAAGCGACTTGCGCCAAAATGATGCCTACAGCATGTATATTGTTGGGATTAGCGGATTGAGAGAATGAATCGAATGTATCAAATGAAATGCATTGCATATGCTTTTTTCAGAAGCAAAGTCACACACACATACACACACGCGCACAAATGTTCGTTGATATTAGATATTTAATATTTGATATGTGTGGCATGATTTATTTTGTTAGGGATGTTATTTGCATCTGCAAAGACCGAAATAATACCCAAATTCCTACTGTTTTATTCAAACATCACATAAGCAACTTTGGCGCAATTCGAATGTTTGCACTCTCGCAAACAATGCCTCCTGTTCATCCAAGCGCAAATACATACCACGCAAAATCGATACCAAATAATTTGGGATAAAACACTCTTTCATGAGTTGTATAATAATTTACTGTTCATAAAGGATTCTTTTTAATAATTAGCAATGTTATAGGTGTAAACTTTTTTTGACTCACACTGTAGGTCAGCGCTCAAAATACACGGGGGCGGTGGGCGATTCGCCCCCGTGAGCTCCATAATCGCCCCCGTCAGGTTACTCACGGGGGCGATTGCAAAATTAAAAACCGCCCCCGTGGAATTATAAAATAAAGATTATCTTTTCTGATACAACTTTAACACAATATTGAGTATCAATTTTCAAACCTTAAACCAATGAAATGGAACTTAAATTGCGCTAATTGCTCTTTCATCTCTATGAGTATTACCGATACAAACAACAGAAGCTCGCAGTGCAGCCGTCAGCAGAGTATATACTGTGCCGGTAGTACCGGTGTGCACGCGGACGCCCAATATCTGCTGGAGCTGGAGACGATCGCGCAAGGACTGAAACATGGAGAAGTTTTTCGTTGTGAAAAGTGTGAATCCTCTGAAATCTGGTTATTCTAAAAGACCAGCAAATAATGTTACTCGACCTGTCAATCAATATTGAGAAGATCACCAAAAATGTTGCAGGGGCGGATCTAGGCGGTTTAGGGGGTTTAATTGCCCCCACCCCCTCCCCCCTTGGGCTGCCAAGTGAAAATGTGATGTGTATAGAAAAATGCTATCAGACCTACACAGTATTAGTAGATGTCAGTAGATGCTAGGATAACGGGGGTTCAAAACAGCACAAAAAATCGGCTCGCCGCTTCACGGCTCGTGGACGATGCTTCGCATGTTAGTAGATACCAGGAAAACATCACTTACGGGGTTCAAAGTAGCAACAACAACAAAAATCGCTTCGCCGCTACGCGACTCGCGGACGATGCTCCACATCGTATTTGGGTTACCCCCGGCCCCCCCACCCTTAGCAAAAAGCTAAATCCGCCCCTGTGTTTTGGAAGGAAATGGTAAAGACTAAATGTAAAGAAAGAATGTAAATAAGGTTGCTCCGAATAATGAGGAGGACATTATGTGCAGAACGGGAAGAAATGGAGAGAATGTCATCACGGGGACGGGGATAAAAGTCAATAACAGATTTATTAAACAAGTAAATTTAAAAGAGGGAAAACGCCGACTTAAATATGATAATGATAAAATACCAAGGAATTTAGGAGTTTCATGGGTACCAATTCAATGGAAATATGTATTAAAATAAGAGCCCCCGTCAGCACTAAAAGAGCCCCCGTGAGAAGGCTCACGGGGGCTCTTTTTTTTTTGGAAGAGCCCCCGTGGACAAAAAATTAATTTGAGCCCTGCTGTAGGTCCACAGGAAAGAAGCATTCATAAATATGAATATATACAGTAGGCTTGCGGGGGCACCATATGAGAAAGAGGGAGGATTGAGGAGTCCATAAAATGATTCTCGGTAATCTTTTTTGAGGGTGTGTACTCCTTTCATTAGAAAAAATTTGCATTACCTGTCCAAAGTTGCATTTCCGGTCCAAAGTGGCATTACCGGTCCAAAGTGGCATTACCGGTTCACAGTGGCATTACCTGTATAGAATTGCATTACATGAATGCCATAATGATTTTGTTTGGTTTTTATACCCCCAGAGAATCTGCCATATAAAACTGCTTCTCACCTTCCTTCTTCTGTAATAACTTCATCAATTTTATTTCTATTTCGACCTATGATAGAAATCTGCCCAGGTGACTGGGTGTATGGAGTAACAAAATGTTTCCTCTTTGACGGCGTCAACTCACGCAACTGGCAAGAGGCACATGATTTCTGCGATGGTCTAGATGCGGTTACCCTTGGCAACGGAGATGTGATTGGTCCATCCCTGGCATTTCTAGAGAACCAAGAGGAATTTGCTCTTTCCAAGACTCATTTGCCCAACTCTTGGGTCTGGTCGAATTGCAACAAATTGAATATCAATGCGCCGTGGGTGTGTGTGACTGATAGAGCGGGAACTACCAGCCAGTATAGAGGTGAGTTCAGGATACAATCAACGAGACTGAGAGCCCATAACACCAACAGCCCACAAGATTGACAATCAACAAAACTTAGAGCCAAAAGACCAACAGCCCACAAGACCAACATCCCACGAGACTTACAACCACGAGACCAACAGCCCACAAGACTATCGGTCCACAAGACTGATAGTCAACGAGACTTAGAGCCACGAGACCAACATCCTACAAGACAAACATCCCAAAAGACTGACAGCTCATGAGACCAATGACCCAAAGGACTGAAAGCCCACAAGACCAACAGCACACGAGACCGATAGGCCAAGGGACCTACGGTCCTCAAGACGAACAACGCAAGGGATCGACTGCCCACAAGACCATCAGTCCACAATACTGATAGTCAACGAGACTAAGAGCCACGAGACCAACATCATACAAGACCAACAGCCCAAGAGACTGACAGCTCATGAGACCAATGACCCAAAGGACTGAAAGCCCACATGACCAACAACACAATAGACCAAAAGCCTAAGAGACCGACGGTCCTCAAGACCAACGACACAATAGACCGACTGTCCAGAGACTAACCGCTCAAAAGACTGACAACATGAGGCTCTAAACACATGAAACCGACAGCGCATGGGATTGACGACCCTTGAGCCCGATGGTCCACGAGCCTGACTTACAACGAGACCCTTAAGTTAGGCCTTTAAAGCCACATTGCACTACTTATAGGTACTTGCGCCCTCTATACAGCCAACAATGCATGGGCGGTACTCGTTGATCCCCATGATGCCCTTTTTCTTATGTTCGCTATGAGTTGATTTGATGAGATAACCACCTTGCATGGAGGTTTAATCCCTCCACGGCAAACTAGTGCAGAGGGGCTTTAAATAATGCTGTCTGTTCTCGTAAGCTGTAGCCGAGATCAACGATGTCAGCCTCTTTGATCACCTGCCTCTCCAGACTGATACAAATGGCAATAATTAAAGAGTAATGTTGATTTCATTGAATGATATTTATTACAATTTCAATAATATCCGTGTGTATGTAAAACACTCTACATCCACTTTTTTATTATTATCGGAATTGACTCTTTGAATGAATGTACTAATTTCTAGTAGACTGTAGAAACATTGACACATCATCATAGATGAATTTCCTATGAAAAAATGATAACAACTTGCTTCAAAGAATGAGTTTGGTTCCAAAACATGCTACATCCATTTTAGTTCAGTTGCTTTCCATACCAGTGCATATGATATTCTTAGACATCCGTTTTGGGATTTTGGTGTGGTTCGAGATTCCCCGGTCAAATATTGATGTAAAAAGTCATCGATACGACGCCCGAAACCGTGATGTCCTACAGGGAGGTCTCATTGGTCCTTTATTATTCATCATATACTTAAATGTATGTATTAATGTTTTTCCTCTATAGATTGGGGTCCTGGACAACCAGAGGATGATAGATGTGTGATTTCCTACCAGGATCAAATGCACGACCAAGACTGTAATATAAACTCTGGTACAGGCACATCTTGCCAAGTCAACATCTCCGCATGAGATCACAACATTGCTCTTTAAAAAGAATGGAAAATCCAATCTTTTTGGAGTCCTTTACACTTCTTTTTGGAGTGAAATTCACTCCATGAGGAGTCATTTTTGCTTCGTTTGCAACTGTATATCCGCTCCTCTAGTAGGAGCCTTGTTTCCGTTTGGGATTTGAAATCAATCTTTTAAGAGCCTTGGACTCGTTGAGAATTTAAATCCACTCTTTTAGGAGTTGGTTCACCTCGTTTTGGAGTGTTAAAAATATATATAACAGTCCTTATCACCTCGTTTTGATAAAAGCTGCATTTATTATACGCACATATTAAACATAGGGTATTTCAAGATACCAACACGTAGGATTACTCTAATCCGGGCTGTTGTTCAGCTTCCCTTAGGCCAATTTTTGTTTTAATATTTGGTTGTCCTCAATTGCTTTTCTGGAGCAGAGGCGGGCGGGCGGTTTTTTAAATTATTATTATTATTATTTGTTTAACTTCATTTTTCCTTTTCTTCTTTCCCACCCCCTCCCCCCTCCCTCCCCCCATTTTTTAAATTAAAAAAAAATCATTGGGATGTCAAGCATTTAAACAACCAAAGTCTACAAAACACTTTAATATGGTAAAAGACAAGTTTAATGTACAATGAATATCAAGACCAACACAGAAAGTATTTTTGGCTTTGAAATACAGCAGCTACTTGCGCCCTCTATATAGCAAACAATGCCTAATCGGTGACCATTGGTCCCCCATGATCTGATTTGATAAGATAACCATCTGTCTAGTGACCTTGCAGCGTGGTCTAATCCCCCTTGTAAACTAGTCTATATGGGCTTTAAAATGAGTTTAAGAATGCTCAGGACCTGATTTGAATGAACGGCATTTTGACATAGAAAAATAAAAATGGCAAGTTTTATCAATACAGAATTGCGTACTGAAAAGAACAAACTGGCAACGGGGCGCATTTTGATCCTTGCAAATGCATAAAATGGTATGTTTGGCGTTTAAGATTGCTCCCCCCCCCCCACAAAAAATAAAATAAAACAAAAATTAAAAAAATACGAGCGGGCCGAACATGTTGAGCGGGCGGTCAAGGACAACCAAATGATTTTTGTGGGGCCTTATGAGGCTCTCAAAGCAATCAATGAATACCTTCCTAACATGTACCCATTAACTATTCCGGGTGGTGAGTGGCAACGGTAGATTAATGTCTTGCCGGGGTGGGACTGGAACCGCTGACCATGTGATCGACAGTGCGGTGACGTTACGAAAGTGATAATCCCGGCTGAAAAATAAAGGAAACCACTCTGAAAGAAAGGACAGATGAGTAGTGATAAACCTTGCGGGATTACAGAATGAGTGTTTTCCACTCAGAAGCATCTAGAGGGTGAATTTCCATTTGGTATAATACTTATAGGTATGTGACTCATATGGTATATTGTTCATTCAATCTAAAAAGAAGTCATTCATTAAATGATTATTAGACCTTCTGTAAAGTAGACGAAATGTGTATTATAGGCAAACTAGTGTTTAAGAATTATGAACCTTCTAATTGACGAACTTTCAAACGATTGACTCTGTTTGAAATAATAGCATTTGTTTTGTCTGTACATTATTTGAAACCTGTAAGCCAAGAAATGAAAATGAGTATTTGTTTTGTATATTGTTTTTTAAAAAGTATTTTGGTTTGATGTACCATAGTTTATTAGAAGACATTTACATCTTTTTACACGGAACAAACGAATTCGAGTCTTAATAAATGTATATACCAGTTCTGGGCCCCGTCTTACAAAGAGTTACGATCGATCCAAATCAATCGTAAGTCCTCCAATCAATCGCAAGTTTGCAGTCTCCTATCTCTTATGTACAGAGTTACGATTGATATCAATCGCAAATAACTTACGATTGATATCAACTCTTTGTAAGACGGGGCCCTGGTCATGCGATTGCATTGTGAAAAAACGTTGTGGAATCGATCAGAAAAGGTTGATCATCTAGCATATAAGTATTGGTGTGTACTGCAAGGTTCTGGAATAATCAAAATGATAATAAATCTGGCCCAGTTTTGGTAAACTTACAAGCACTGTATACTTTACGTAATATGTCAATTAGTAGGCGGTTTCCCGGCAAAATTAGTATCATCACGTATTAGTCAAAACATATTATTTCACATAATTGTTGATAAGAGCTTCCATTCCATTTTTTGAGATGGGGGGGGGGGGGGGGCGTTTCCAAAGCTGGTCTATACCTTTAAGGGTCGTTCAGATATGGCACGGTAAACCGCCGAAAAAAGGGTGGAAAAGCAGCCGCGGTCGTTGTTTTATTTTTCACGTGTAAATAAATGGCAACTGTACGCAATAAAGGACTTGCGCGTATTCACTGAGCTCTGTATTATAAGATACTAAAATGGGGGAGGGGATAACACTTTACGTCATCATAAAACAACCACTGCAGTTTAGCCGGGTTATATCTGAACGAGCCTTTAACCTTATGCTGGAATTATGGTTATCTTATTATATTACTAGAAGTAATATAAAACATATAATAAGAAAATGTTCAAGTAAAGGATTATAATCTCTTTCGAATCGTTTAGAAACTCGTTTTTTTCAATTGTGTTTACAGCAGGCGCTAAACACACGTGTATATATATTACATTATGTTAAATCTAAGGTAGCATGTATTTGTAAGATACTTTAGTAATGCATTTGTACATACATGATAACATAAGCAATATTAAAAGCGTAAACAATTTTGATAAAAGGAAGAAGGCGCAAATCACCAAATTTTTGTCGAATTCATCTTACTGAAGAGTACGTTATAAGAAAAAAGAAAGTAAACGCAATATACAGTACATTTAACGACTGATTATTCATACTCTTGTAAAAAAAAACATGATAACCCAATAATGAAAGGTTGCCTGGTTGATTAAGGGCCTGTGTTGAATACATTTCGTACAAGATTTTATATGTCACATTCTAATGAAACATAAATTGGGACAAATTAGTAGTTTCACATACTTTAAATGTTACACAGGTAAGGGTATGAATAATTAAGTTGTGAAGAAAGATAGTTCTTCTTTCAGAGAGAATGTTTCCTGAAGAAATTATTGCTTATTTGTGTTTTCTTTATTTAGATTTCTATATATCCCTTTCGGGAGGTCTTATACCGTACATTCAAATTTATAGTGGTGTGATATTTAAGTAGGAACGCTGGGACTACATATATATATATATAGCGCCCTCTAAACTATTGGTCAACTTTAAAGAAAAATTGAGTTCTAGGCAGCTTTTCACGAAACCGTCATAAGTACAAGTTTGCCGCCATCCCATTGATATCCGTTTATTATATTTAGCATGTGTTTCAATGGGATGTCGCTGAACTTGTACATACGACGGTTTCGTGAAAAGAAACTGTTTGGAAGTGAATTGAAAGGTTGATCATCTATCGCATGATAATTATTGGTTCTAGAGGTTTTAGAATCATTCAAATGATATAGAAAATTAGCTCAATTTTGATGAGAGTCACATGCACTATACACATACATGTGTATGGGGATACACAAACATGTAGCATGAAAGTGGTCGCCCCAACCTTTAGCTGTTACTTGTCATAATTCGGATAAGTTGGCATTTAAAGCACCATCCTTTTTAGGGGACATTTTTTATAGTTTAAAAGAACGAAAACAGCTCACAAATTATTTTTCACCTTTCCCATAACTCAACCTATTTTAAAATATCGACTTTCGTGTATTTACTGGTATTTTATTGTGTTGCAACGAAATAAATATCAATAAAATATATGAATATTCGTGTGGATTAATAATTTGCCTGTCATGTGAAACAAGTTCTTCGTCATTATCGGTCATTAAGTAAATACTAAAATAGGGCTTACTAGGGCTTGTTATGTATTTATTTCTAATTCTTCTCACCCTCGAATGCATCTGAGGTCTCGCTCCTAACTCTCTATGTTATATACATTGATATATCATATATGAATATGTGTATGTATATATATTTATAACTTTACATGTTACTGTCACAGTGATGCAATATATATAATTATCAATTCATTTTTCTACCTTTTATGAAATACCATTGTGCCTTTATCGTCAATACTACTAATGATGTTATGGATTGAGTTTTAATCTATAAGAGTGTTTGTCAACAAAACAATTACAATACAAATCAAGTTCACTATATCATGATTTTATTTCAAGCTTTTCTTTGCCAAATAAAAATGATTCATTTTTCTTCCTTCATCTTTTGAATCGTTACACTCTTACGACCTGCACAACATATAAATGTTTCGTATTTACGATCTCATGATCTGCCCTTTGCATCTTCATGTTATTGATTATATATATCTGATGTATTTATGTATATTTTTGTATATTTATGTATTTTAACACAACTAATGAGGAGAGCCTTCATCATAACTCAGGGCATTAGTTGATGGTTTATTTTCTATTGTTACTGTATGTATTGCTGTACTTTGTTTGCTTGTAATATACTGTATTTTAATATGCATTTATTTCCCTTACTTATCCTGGAAATTATATAAAATTTGATAAATAAATTAAATGTCCATCCCGCTACTCCCTCCACTCTTCTCATGACATCGTACAGAGCCAATCATGTCCCAAGTTGTGTCACACACTTGGCGACAGAGCGTTCATAACTGCTGCTCAAAAAATGAAGAATAACCTCCCCAGCAATCTCCCCTAATTTAAAAGAATATCTCAGAAGTCACCTTTTCTGTGAATAAAATAATTATAGCGCGTACTTGAACATGTGTGGGTTATTGTATTTTGACAGACGTGCATCAATCAGATATGATTATTTACGTATGTGGACCGACCATCCGAAAGACGTGACTCAGTTTACAACCGGAGTCGGCTAAGCCAAGCAGGTTGTAAGCGAAGACAGAAAGCTGATCATATATTATATGCGCTAAATGTGTTATATGAATACATTATTATTATCATCATTATTATCATAAATACAAAGTGAATATCAA